AGAGAGAGAGAGAGAGAGAGAGAGAGAGAGAGAGAGAGAGTCGCGTACATTAACGCACGCAAACACATAGAGACAGAGAGAGAGAGAGAGAGAGAGAGAGAGAGAGAGAGAGAGTCCCAAAGCACATACACACACAGGGGAGAGGGAGACGCATAGCATGTCACTGGCATGCCAATAACACACTCACAGCGATTTATATCAAGGTGTGTGAAGGCCATGACCACATCTCGGGCAGCTAATAAGCAGATAAAGAGGATGAATCCAAGACAAAAACAGACCGCCGTTCATTCATGCCTGAGGAGGCTGGCTGTGACCATCACTTCATAGTGGTCAGAGCAACGATCCTAGCTGGTCCATACGTCCATGTTCAGAGAATGGCATGTCGCAGCCACAGTCCTTTTGAAGGTGCCTTCTGACTACCGTCTTCAGCCGAATATAGCACCCAGGAAATATAGCTGTATTTGGCACAACTTTCAGCCCAGATACAGCGATAATTACCGGGCGTTCTATTCGGGTGAAGACAGCAATTCTGACTAGTGTGACAGAGTCTATCTGGTCTGCACAGGCAGATGCCGCTGTGTGTTGTCATGTTTGCTACACAAAACATCACGAAAAAAGAAGAGCATGATTGTGCCCAACAGTTTCGTGGAAGTTTCACCGTCTTATCAGGAGGCTGAACTCTGACGGTCTGCCCAGGATGCATTGGACTGATGGATACGGACTCACCACGTTGTCCAAAGTTAGTGATACACCTGTGAAAAGTGGTTGGTGTTTTACTCACAGCAACCCTGCAATCCTAGCAGACTGTTGGTTCAAACGCCTGACAAGAACGGCAGTAAGTTTAAGCAATTAGTTCATCACAGACAGAAAACCATCTCTACACACCCACTCAGCCAAACAGTGTGTTGTCATGTTCGCTATACTCCACCAAAAAGGCAGAACTGAACGATACTGCATGATACCGTTTCATCGGATCTTCATCAACTCATCAGGAGGTTGAACCTCTGGGGTGACGACCGCGTTATTCTGTTGGACTGATTCTCGCTAAGGAGTTCATGTGAGTTGAATCCAGAATCTGTGCACCCGCTGTAACTCTCTCTCTCTCTCTCTCTCTCTCTCTCTCTCTCTCTCTCTCTCTCTCTCTCTCTCT